ACTGAGCTGCTTTGAATGCATGAAGTTCCACATCCGCTGGTAGGTCTGGTACCGAGAGTTCTGCACAGCAGTGAGAGTCCAGATACGATCAGGACAAACAGTCAGATGTAGACGTCAGGGAGCAAAAGTTTATTAGCTACAGATATAAACGTCTGACCTTAGCAGATATGGAAATAAAGTTTTATTTGTTTTCCTTTTTCATTTTCGTGACTGATGGATTTTATTCAAACTGATTTGCTGGGAAAAAAAACAACAACAAAAAAACTCTTTTACAGAGCTGTTCCTATCTGAGAATAAACTTCAAATAATGTTCCATTCTCTTAACCAAATTTTATTGAGTTATTTAAAGTCCTGTAGATGTAAAAGCATGAAAGAGAACAAAGCTTTTATCTTATTTATCCTCTCAATATAATCCTCTATGTTCCTTTTCTCCAGTAACACTCTTTGTTTCTTGTTGTCTTTTCTCTCTCTCTCAGGTCAGATATGTTGAAGACAACTAGACTTTCAGAGGATGATGAAGCAGATGGATGGAACGGTGGGCAGAGACAGACAACAGCACGTGCAAAAGTAAGAACAGAAATGTGTGCATAAATCTTTTGAGTACTGACCACACTCCAGTACTGTACCTGAGGATTAATACTAATGGTTGCTGACACAACGTATAGCAGTAGCAAACCATGACTAAATGAGGTGGAAATATCAGCTACGATATAAATTGTGGCAATCTGATAAATACTAGTCAGTAACACCACAATGTCACAGACCAATTACATAATTTATTTTCAGCGTCGCAATTCAGAAACTCACTGATCAGGAAGTACTTTAGCTCATTTTTATACATCATGTACAACATTTGAAATATGGTGTTATTAATTTTACAGTCACTAAAAACATCCCGAACAAAAATGCCAACTCATTATAAAACAGAACAACCAGCAGGTACAATCTACCTATCTGATCACATAACCCAAAAAAGTACCACCCATTCCTGTACCACGACTACCCAGCATCCCTTGTGGCTCACCCAGTCTCTTGCATTCAAGTGCAGCATGTAAATTCAATAATTTATACTGAAATTTAACAGTAACCCACAGAACTTAGTTTCTGTAAAAAAAAAAAAAAAAAAAAATCATATAATGAAATTAAAATACAACTGTGACAGAAAAAATGTCCATGTGAATCTAAAAGGGACATTTTACCTTCATTTTTTAGAGCAACTACAATCTCAGTGTAGATTTATAGATTTCCAAGTTGCAGGTGAATTTATCAAAGAAAAGTTTCTTGTTCAACTGCAAATTGCATTGGAAATATATGCTTAATATAAAATAAATGTAAAAATGTCCATGCAACATTTCTTATGTGCTGCATTTAAGGGTCTTTTTGACGGAGCTCTGGGTGCAATGGTGGATCCTTGCTGCATGAATCCTCCAACAGGGAACCAGAAACTGTTGCCAAGCGAGTACTGGTTGATGAGCAAGTTACAGCGTCCCTTTAGACAGGGGTGGGGGTTGTACCACTCATAAGGTGTCAGTCTGAAGAGAGAAAGACAATGGAGGTTATATAAACAGAGAGCGTTGGAGGGAATGAAGCCGTCGGAGTGAAAACCCAAGATAGAAATCGAGACAGAAAGAGGAATGAATACCAAAGAGCAAAGTGACTCTAACAGTGATGTGAGCTCAAAGTCACCTTGGCTCTCCAGAGAGAGAAATAAACCTTCTTTTTCACTCCTCAAGTGCAGCCGACTTTAATCGTGAAGACAACTGATGTGTTTTCTGTATGTTCAAATGCGGCTGCAGAAACTAACGCTATGGAGAGGATTATTAATGTGCAGGACTGAGACATCCATCCATCTCCAGAGTCTGATACGTCCTTAAACTATAGGAGGTAAGTTACTTGTGAATGTGATCCTGTGACAAGGACCAAAGCAACACTTGAAACGCACCAGATCAATCTAAATTTCAACCACATTTGATCTTAGTGGAGAGCACAAGACTCTAGAGGATCATGACATCCTGCAAAATTACAATAATTAAATTAAATCATTCATATTTTCATATTATGTCTCTTTAGAGGCAGAATACATCGACTGATCTGTGAACGGATTTAATTCTGATATCTGTTAATGAAGATCTTTTTCTCTCTTTGTCACTTGATCCCATTGTATGGATGAATTTCAGAGGCAGTCGTGTCAGTACCCTCCATGACCAACAGATGGTGGTGTGGTTCTGGTGACCTACTGCTGGCAGAAATGATCTTGTACTGTGACTGGAAGATCAAGCACAGAAACTTCAGAGCAGTGAAACCTCAGACACCTGTTTCCTGCTCTGTTGATCCTTCAGACAAGTCTTTTTGTGTTTTAATCTCTGTATACAAGCCTCTGTGGGTCTCTTGAGCACGTCTGTCCGTTCCAGATCGAGATCTTTACCTCGCCACTAGAAAGAGGACGCAGCTGACGGCCAAGTAGGCCAGAAGCATGAAGAGCCAGACACCAGGGGAGAAGGGATCCAGGAAGGAGAAGTATCCAGGCCTTCGTCCCTGAAACACAACATAACACACACTTGAAGGACTGACCAACAAGAAAAAGTGAAATCATCAAAGTTTCTTCAGACAGAGGGAGAATTTGATTCTAGTTCAAACTGTATAAAACAACCCAACATGGACTTTTACTGAAGGAGGTTAAAAACCTTCTAGTCAAGGTGACAACGAACTAACCAGCATGTGAAAAAACACGTTCAAACACATTTCATAAAAACAGGGAAGAGGAAATAAAGTCTAAAATTGACTGTTAATTTTTTATCAGACTAGTTTGTATTAACATACCTCACCTGCTGTTTGTTTAATTAAGATCAGATGGAAAAGGTGACAGTGACAGTAAATACAGAGATTTTGATGTTTGATGATAAGCACAGATTTTGCTGTCCTAAACAGATTGTCCTATAATTATATGAATCTCATCTGTATGTAAATATTGGAAGTACAAACTCAGTCTCCCATGAACTGTCAACAGAACCGAGCTGCACACTGATACACGTCCACAGATAAGAGGCTTTATTACCACATTCTGCTACTGAAACTATAACAAACACATATTTAACAATGTCCTCTTAATTCTGGTTGTCTTTGCTTTTACATTAAAGTTGGATGATACAG